AGAGAGAGAGAGAGAGAGCTTGTTTTTCCACTTATTTATGCATTCATTGGTTGCTTCTTGTATATGCCCATCAGGGGATTGAACCCGAAAAACTTTAGTGTATAAGGATGACACTTTAACCGACTGAACTACCTAGCCGGGGCTCCAGCAGCTTCTTAAAAGAAGAGACTATTAATCTAGGCAGTAGAGTGGTTAAGAGCACAGCCTTGGGAGTCCTGGGTTCAAATCCTGAGCCCGATAGTTACCGTCTTTGGGATCTTGGGCAAATGATATAATCTCTCCAAACCTTTAGAAATGACCTCAGAAGGGTTGTTAGAAGCTTAAAGGATATTTAAATAATGTATGTAAAGCGTTTGGCACCATGTCTGTTGGACAGAAAACACTCCAGTTGTGGTTCTACTATATTCATAGTGGTACTCTTGAAAGGAAGTAAATACATTTTTTTCTAGATGGAAGTGGAGAATATTTTAGGGAGGGAATGGCAACAGCAAAATACAGGAGAAAAAGAAGCTTTATTATTTATTGTTTTAGCCCACACTGGGTGAAGGAGTCCTTAAGGAGTATCGTAAAGAGGAGAGCAGGAGGGAAGAAGGAAAGTAGAGATTAGCATTCTTTAAGCCTGGTTGGCGAGGCTCAGCAGTTGACCATCGATTTATGAACCAGGAGGTCCCGGTTCGATTCCTGGTCAGGGCACATACCCAGGTTGTGGGCTTGATCCCCTGTGTGGGGTGAGAAAGAGGCAGCCGATCAATGATTCTCTCTCCTCATCTATTTCTCTCAGGGCGGGGCCTGCAGGAGGCAGGCGATCAGTGGTTCTCTCTCTCTCTCTCTCTCTCCCCCTCTCTGAAGTCAATACAAAATATATTTTAAAAAAGAAAAAGAATAGAGGCCATGTTGCAATGGAATCATTCCTAAAGTGTAAACCATTTGAATCAATGGAATTTGGAATAGTCTCCAAAAACTTTCTATTAGCAACGAGCAACTTTACACAAATGACCCCAGAAAGGCTTTCCAAACAAGACTTACTTAGTTCACTGGGGACCATCTGAGAATGAAACACGTTTCATTGCCCGTTCTGTGAAAATGACATCCTCCATTTCTCTAGGGAAGGCTGGTTTTACTAGTGCCTTCCCCAGGGCTGTCCTGGCGCCGCCCGGTATCTGACAGTCTAGTTCCTTGTGATTTTGTTGTTGTTGCCTTAAAAAATGTTTTAATTCTGAAAGCACTTAGAACTTAGGAGTCAGAACGGGATTTTTTGAAAACTGAAAATGGCATCATTATAACTGGGATGACTCACCTGGTACTTCACTGGAAGTGCATGATGGACAAGACGAAGGTTCATAAACTCAGTGTAGCTCAAAGTACAGAAACAACTGCATTGTCTTCCCCCCCCCACCCCCAGGTCCGACTTAAATTCGTTAAAGATGACACAGAAGAGCAGCGGCCTAATGCGAATGTGCAGCTTCCTTCTCTCAGTGATCTTATTTCTGCCACGCGAAATGACAAGTAAGTTCATATTTCTTTCGCCTCTTTCAATAAAGAAAAAGTTCAGGTTAAAAATGATGGGTGGGCACTGGAAAAATCCAGAGTCCAAATTGGAATGAAGACATAGTTGCTCTCGTTCAGAGAATAGGAGTCAGGTAACATCATAAAATTTAAATAGAAAATATTTTTGTGATTCTCCTAGTATAGAAGAAGT